CATCAGTTTTCGAGATTAGCTATAAAAAAAATTATTTTTAGTAAATGGCAAAAGACCTTGGATAAATCGATCTACTTTCAATAAAATAATAAAAAAAAATTGGAAAGTATATTACCATTTTCGTATGAACAAAACAGTCAATTTCTAGAAGAGTATACATACAACCGTTTATATCTGTTTGATGAATTATTTAAGTGATGAAATACATTTCACGTGACTTGAATAAGTTTTAGTGTTAGAGTCTGTTTATCAATTTTATATTGAATGTTCCTGTAATAATGTAACATACAGACTATTTATCTTAGATTAATATCAATTAATAATAATAATAATAATAATAAAACTTTATTTAATGTCAAAATGCAACAACAACAATAAAAACAAGCTCAATTTCTTAGTACAATTTATTCACCTTTCGTAATTTGAGTCATTGTACTTTTAGGATATTTACAATGAACGAGATTTCAGCAGTAACAATAATCTCTTTTATTATAATAAGATACAATAAGGCAAATATACTTATTGTCATATTGTTAGTTTTATTAAAACAGAATATGTTTAGGTAGATACCTTGGTTTTGTTTGAGTTTACTTATGGAAAACGATGATAAAAAAAAGGTCATATTTTCTCGCAAAAAATGTTATAGGTTTGAAACTATAATAAATAAATTATCATTTCCTTTGCTTGAACAACAAAAGTTTGAGTCAGTATGGCTGGGATACATTATCATTAGATGTACCTCATGTATACTAAATATTTTTTTATTATGTAAAATGACAAAGGGATATGAAATGTAATTGTGGAGGCAACATATAAATCGTATGTGGATTATTAAATCAGATATATAAAGCGAAGTTCTACATGGACAAAAAGTAATAAATTACTTATTTATTTCTTTATATGCTTCATTATCAAGCAAAAACGATTAGTCAGAATTGCTTCAAATAACTTAAAGATTAGTAACAGGAATGAAAAACTTCGTATAATATTCACCGACATTACTCTGGTATTTTAAAAAGTCATTACTACCATTTTACCTCATGAATTAAATTCAATCATTTTACATCCACTAACTTATTTCTGTACAAAATTTGACCATATCAGGCTTGTTATTGTATTTTGTCTCAAACAAAAATATCCAGTCATTTACAACACAACGTATGAACGCATTAATGAGCTTTTTTCTTAACCTCTATGCTGAAATTAATCACCTGAAATTAAAACGGTCTTTGTTCTCATTAGCAGAATTGTTAAAATCCTGATTATATTTGAATAAATAAGAACAGAAATATTATTATCTTAAAGTTTGGGGAATTATGAAAAATACATTCAATCCATCATATTCCTTATCAGAAGTTTTTCAGGGTAATACAGATTATTTTCATAAGAGTCTAATCTTCGCGATATGTGATTGTATTTCATAGTTTTTAATGAAACTGTAATGACAATTCACCCTAATATTTCATTTTTTCGAATTATTTTCATCGTACTCACAAGAAAGGATACTGTTTCACCAGTGACTTAAACGTTATACGTTCTAAATACGTAATTAAGTTGAAATACTTGAAATGAGGCAAAAACTTGTCAACATTTATTAAATGAGATTCGTCGTTTGTATACCCTGTAGTAGTTAGAAATAATTTCAATTTCATAAGTGTGAATGGTAATTTGGTTTCTAAAAAGTAAAAATACTAACAGAAGTGCCATTTGTAAATCAATATCTAACTAAAATTATGGTCCTAGAGCCTATTTAATATTTTCAACACTTTTTAAATGTTTGCTATTATATGTTGAAACATGCTTGGATTAATTTCATTCCCATGAGTATGTTTAAATGCATTTGTAATGTTCGATTTTAAATTACTAATGATTGTAAGCACCCAATGTTAACTTAATAAAATAAAACGAATTATTGTTACTCTGATCAAGTCATTTTTCTTGCACTTCACCGAATGATAACGGGAACTATTTCAGAAAATACGCTTTTTAACTGGGGACATATGCTGTCATCAAAACACAGCATCCAGATTTATGTAATATTATAAGATTTAGAATCATGTAATGTCCTGTGTTTATTTGTAATAGTATTATTCAAACTAGACCGTATAGCTTTATCATATGAAGTGTATTTTTACAAGCTGCTGTTTAGTTTATTCATCAGCGTGTTTTAGACTTGAAGGTCATTACGAAGATAATGCTTTTCTAATCCTCACTTTAGGCAAAGACCGTTTCTCGCTTCCCTGTAGTGCCGTGCGTGTAGTGAGGGTCATTCCATGAGCTAACTCAAGTGGCAAGATTGAAGTCGTGCCAAGCCCCCACTCTGTCACAATATGGATTAACAGAAACGGCGTATTGTCGAGATAAATATGTGATGTTGTGAAGAAGAGAGGAATTTTCTTTTGATCTCCGTCCATTTATCTCTAGATAGAACTATTAGGTCTGGTTGCGATGGGCCAGAGTAAGGACTATAAATCTTGCCATAACCAGTGAGCTGAAGTCGACAACAAACTTGTTTGTGGTATAAGCGTGAAGGAGCATATATTCCATGATAAACTACTTGCAAAGTGATTTGAACACTTTTTATTCCTTTAGTGTAAGAACATGCTGTGCTACGGCTTGAGGTAATCATATCTATACCTATGTGCATACTATAGAATATATGGGTCTTGGCGTGTGCACTCTATATATGCATGTAACGTGTTCTTGTGGATGGAAACTTCTATGAATATACGAACTTATGCGATGTATAGACCTGTCTTCACTCTCTTATTACATATAATGTATATTAGTGACCGCCCTTATCTATGCTTATGTGTATATCACTAGAGTGTATATATTGCTGTTATGTGCACTTTATCAAATACATTTATAGCATACTTGGGAAGTAGTTCCACGTCCTCCATTAGCGCTTCCATTAATAACTCATCAAAGCTTTCGGTTTACATATATTTTACGAATATGGTAGGGAAGTGAAACTATACTAGGAGTAGACTCTACTGAATCTGTCTCATACACCCAAGTTAGGCTGAAATGAATCTATCTACTTCAACGAATACATCTGCTTGTGTGCATAAAACAAGCTCCTAATGTGTCCGTCCGCTTTATTAGTATGGTTAAATCCAAACATCCCATCACATCCATTACCTCCTTTCTTTAGAATTTTAAATTTTTCTACATAGACTCTTTTCCCTGAGCCTAGTTGTGCTAATCGGTTTTCTTCGTTGTTGGGCCAGGCTACAGTACGTAATATAAGCCTCACTTTATTAGCTTTTCACTTCGTTCATCCAGACTGTCTTTCTGTTAGAAAAAATTTCGACTTATTTGCAGGATTAAATTATCGAATTATGTATGTTCAGTAAAATTATCGTAAAGTGAATAACCTAATCATTTTACATGAGAATAGGAGAAACAAGTCAGAGTACGTTTTCGGAAAATCAAAATGACTATCAAATGAATGACTAGTTAGGCGAGTTTTAATAAAATTGTGTTGTTACCGGGCATTAAATGTAAGTTATTAAGTATTTTATTTTCTCTGCTCTTAGAAACCTAGTTTTCATAAGAAGAGCTTCCAATATCATGATAACAGTCATCCCACGAGGCGTGGTCGTGGATGCGCACTGCTGAGGTGTACCATGGTAGGTCGAAACGGCCGTCCAGTGCTCCCATGTTTTCCATGGTGGTCTAGCTTCAATTGATTCACGATCTCA